TATTCCACAGCTTGTGAATAATGCTGCTGGCTTATTTATGTGGGCAAAGGCTGCCTTGGATTATATCGAAGGGGGGGGAGATCCCCTGAAGCGGTTACAAGATATCCAATATTCCACAAGTATTGGCCATACACAGCCATTGGATGACCTTTATATGAGAATTCTCCAAGGAATCTATAGAAATCTGGATAAATATGAGCAGGATTTGCTACAGAATGTTCTGTGGACAATTATAATGGCTAAACAATCAATGGATCTCTTGTCCATTGAGGAGTTAATCAATGCACCTATATGCTCATTGTGGTGGGTTGAGCAGGCACTTAGGCCTGTCCTTGCAGAGCAGAACAACAATCACCTACTACAAAGCTGCCACAAGTCATTCACAGATTTCATGCTGGAACAGGAAAGATCTGGAGAATTTGCTGTCAAGGAAGAACTACATGGATTATATCTTGCAAATACTTGTCTCCAGTTTATGAACACAAAGCTAAAGTTCAATATTCTTGGATTATCCAAGGGATATTTCAATAGAGATATTGTTGATTTAACAGAACAGATATCTGTTTCTATTCCACAGAGTTTGCAACATGCATGCAAATACTGGTCAGAGTATTATCCTGCAAGGAATCTGACTATCCAGGGCAAGAATTCAATACAGAGTCTGGAGATATTTCTACAGAAACACTTCTTTCACTGGCTAGAGGTTCTCAGTATTATCAGTGCTGGACATTATGCTACATTCATATTGGAAACAGCCAATAGGTGGCTAGGAGTAAGTCGCATATAATAGAATAGATGCAATATTTTACTAATAAGTTGCAGGATTTCAATAAGAACATGGTTCAATTATTAACTGATGGAACAAAAATAACAAATTTGCTTCGTCAGGCAATTCAGGAATCCTGTTCAGGACTCTATTTCAGCATTCTCACTTTCCCACCTCAGACGTCTCTACTTGCCAATCATTATCGTAAACTATATAATCCTTCCTTGCAAGTGACAAGAGGTATACAAGATTGGCCAAATGAATGTCAGGTTTTTCTAGGACATCAAGATTGGGTGTCATCAGTTGCATTTTCACCTGATGGCACAAAAATACTATCTACTTCAGGTGACAACACAGTACGAATCTGGGATACATCTACTGGTCAAACTCTGGGACAGCCCCTTCATCATCAAAGTCAGGTTCTATCAAGTGCATTTTCACCTGATGGAACAAAGATTGTCTCTACTTCAGGTAACAAGATCCAAATGTGGGATATATCTACTGGTCAGGCACTTGGAAAGCCTTTTGAAGGTCATCAAGCTCAGGTGTGGTCAGTTGCATTTTCATATGATGGGACAAGGATCATTTCTGGTTCAGAGGACAAAACAGTCAGAGTATGGGATGCATTCACCAGCCAGAGCCTGGGATCTCTTGAAGGTCATCAAGATACAGTGAGATCAATTGCAATTTCACCAGATGGGACAAAAATTGTATCAGGTTCAGATGACATGACAGTGCAAATATGGGATGCATTTACCAGCCAGAGCCTGGGATCTCTTGAAGGTCATCAAGATAGAGTGAACTCAATTGTGATTTCACCAGATGGGACAAAAATTGTATCAGGTTCAAAGGACAAGACAGTGCGAATATGGAATTTATCCACAGGTAACCTGGAACATATCCTTGAAGGTCATCAACTTCAAGTGAGATCAGTTGCATTTTCACCAGATGGGGCAAAGATTATCTCAGGCTCACTTGACAGAACAATACAAGTATGGGAAGTAACTACTGGTCACAACCTAGGACAATCATTTATGGGTCATCAAGGTCAAATATTCTCAGTCACATTTTCACCTGATGGGACAAAGATTGCTTCTGGTTCAGCTGACAGGACAGTTCGAGTATGGGATGCATCTGCTGGTGACCATCCAAGCAAGCAACTTGAATATAATCAAGTTATAGTTACATCAGCTACATTTTCACCTGATGGGATGAAAATTGTGTCCAGTTTAGATAGCAGTATCCAAGTCTGGGATGCATATACTGGCCAGAAGCTGGGACAACCTCTTGAAGGTCATCAGAGTTTGGTGACCTCAGTTGCACTCTCACCTGATGGGAAAAAAATTGTTTCTGGTTCAATTGATAGGACAGTTAAAGTTTGGGAGGAATCTATTAGGTGGAGCCTCAAACTATCCCTAGAAGGTCATGAAGGGTCAATAAACTCTGTTATCTTCTCACCTGATGGGACAAAAATTGTATCAGGTTCAGATGACAAGACAGTGCAAATATGGAATGCATCCACTGGTCAAAGCCTGAAACAACTCCTTGAAGGTCATCTGAATTCTGTATACTCTGTTGCATTTTCAAATGATGGCAGAAAGATTTTTTCTGGTTCATCTGACAGCATAGTCAGAGTATGGGATGCATTCACTGGCCAGAGTCTTGGATCTCTTGAAGGCCATCAATATGCTGTAAACTCAATAGCTATTTCACCAGATGGAACAAAGATTGCCTCTGGTTCAGATGACAAGACAGTCATAATATGGGATATATCTACTGGTCAAGCTCTGGGACAACCCTTTCATCATCAAGATTGGGTAACTTCTGTTGCATTCTCACCTGATGGTACAAAGATTGCTTCAGGGTCAGTTGAAGGAATACTTTACATATGGGAAATATCTACTGGTCAGAGCCTGGGAGATCCTCTTGAAGGCCATCAAGGTTATGTGACCTCAATTGTATTCTCACCTGATGGGACAAAAATTGTTTCTAGTTCCTTTGATGGAACAATTCGAGTATGGAAATTAACTGGGCAAAATATAGAACAATCTTTAGAAGATCATCAAGGTATAGTAGACTCAGTTACTTTCTGATTCTGTACAAGAACTAATTCCAATCTTATATACAAAGTACCCATCACAACTTGGACATGGGATGCAAAGTCAGGATGGATTCTTGATGGATTCTCTAAAGCTCCAATTGCATGGGTACCAAATATTCTTTGGCCTGGCTTTCATACTCCCTCAACTCAACTTGTTATTGGTGCACCTGAAACAGTTCTTGACTGTAGTAACTATATTCCCTGGGAGGAATGGAAAGTATAATGTATCACTATTATGAATTCAAAGTATACATTGGATATCTCACCATGATTTACTATATATATATTTCAAAATGTTTCCATCATGATTTTGCCTCTGATGACAACATTTTACTGAATGGCAAATACTTTAAAATCCTTGCAAATTCCAGGACTAGAGCCAACCGTAGAGACTAAAAAAAGAGATATCCAACCCATGGGCAATGGGAAGAAGAAAAAAACTGGCATGGCTCCCAATTCCGAAGGCCAGGACAAAGCAATCATAAGAATCACTCTTAAGTAGTATAGTGGTCAGTGCTCATGCCTGTCATGAGCCTTGACTCTAGATTGCGTGAGACTGAGGTTCAATTCCTTGTCTGAGAGATTATTTGTTGAATTTTTAACTATCAAAATCACTGGGCAACGGACTAAGGTGTGAAAAAGTCATGATACTTAACGATATCATTATTAGGGAAAAGCATTGTGTTGATGGAACTTTCAGTGTCGGGGTTTAGAGGGTGGACCAAGGACTGGAGATTAGATTGTACAAAAACGGCAAATGAAAAAGAAGAGAAGTTCCTCGCTACAGATTCTTCCTTCTCGAACGAAGATCAAGTTCTTTTCATCTAAAGAACTCCGTAATTTCCCTCCAATTTCCTCCCATTCTTTTCTTTTACAGCCTTTCTTCGTCTCCTCCTAGATACGTGAGATGGAGGAGAAAAATAAAGAAACAAGAACAGGGAGACAGAGGTTGTGTGTAGATGATAGAGATGGTACATCATCCCAAGTATTTATTTCGATAGATTTCGATGCATCGGAAGGGATGGAATAACAATTTTAAAGAGATGCACCCACGGTTGGAAGTGGAGAGCAAATGATATACGATAAAGCTTTTGAAGGGGGAAGGAAGGAAAGATATAAGACCATACTTCGACAATATAAAGTATTGGGAATCGCCTTGAGAAAGAATTCCTACGCAGATATGTCTGTATACGACATTAACATGTTGAATGGAATAACAAGTTTTGAATATAGGCACATTTACGCTGTTAAGCGAATTAGATGGAAGACGAGAGGTGCACTGAAGATAGAAGCATAGATAGATGAAAGAAAAGGCTACATCAGGAAAGCTGTCAAAATGTATGTGGCAATAGATACTCTATATAGCCCTCTATCCATTTAGCGAATCCGCAATAGCCTACCACCCCCTACCGCCCTATATCAGCTTTGCCGACCGACCCATCTTAGCGAAAAGCAACTAGAGCACGGTAGCTAGTACTTGTTAGCAGCCCTATTTCATGGAGGAAGTGGCTAGATCGCCGTAGTTAGTCCTTCATAGCAACCTCTATTAGCTCATATTCATTCGCTCCAATAATTTGAATTAATAGAGAATATATTTGTATACTAGGTGAAAAAATGCTAGAAGTCCATAATATTATAATAGGATCGTAAAGAGCATGACAATAGAAGACCTTTCCTAATCACACTACTATAAATGTACTTGAAGCGGAGTCATAAAGCACTATAACTAATCATTAATGAAAATGAAAACCGAGAATGTTGGAGAACTCACCTATATACTGTCAGTGACAAATGTATTTGCTCCAGGATTTACGTACTTGAGGCCGAGTCATAAAGCACTATAACTAATCTTTAATAAAAGCGAAATTCGGCTTTGTTGGAGAACTCACCTATATACTGTCGGTGACGGATAGATTTGCTGCAGGATTAATGTACTGGAGGCCGAGTCATAAAGCACTATAGCATATGAAACAGATGCTCCTGGCCCAAGTGCTGCACCGATTGCGATGCCTGAAGTAACCACAGATGGACCGGATGGAAGAATGGGGCATAGCATTGATAGTTCCTTGTCAAAAGTGTCTTGAAGGAGGCCGCCTGAAGCAGGAGTCCTCTTATTGGTACAGACGGCTTCTTGAGTCTCTCCAAGACTTTTCCTAACCAATGATAATGTTCAGTTAGCATAGCATCTAAATAAAAGCACCGCGACACACCTTCCTTCTGCCGACAAACTTTTCAACACTTGACATTCATCAGGACTATCCTCTTAGAGCTCCGTAAGCAGCGCTAGATATTCAATAAAGATGGGTGAATATGTGTTGGAAGTAAAGGTGTCACGCCGACCTTTGAGGAGACTCTTCAAAGTGCAATGAATCTATGTAAAATCATTAGAAAAAATCAAGAAAGAAGAGCAGGTGACACACTAAAGTGCAGGTGTATGCGACAACCGGTAAGGGTAAGGGGTCAAACTTATCCTTGAATTGCACAGGGGGAGGATTTCGAATTGAAGGGTTGAAGACAGCCAGATTGAGGACCTCGGAAAGAAATGGATGACCAAACATTGGTCGTAAACGCACAAGAACCTAGAATGTGAGCTGTCAGCAATAATCTTCGAATAAGAAAGATTACTCACATTAGAATCACTACTAGAACGCCGGATCTTGCCATGGTAGTTTGAGGCGTGAATGTCATTCCTGCTATGCCTATCGGTGGCGTAAACGTACCGGGCTGCAAAACGATTGGTTAAAAACCTGCTGGTAAGGTATATCTATACATACCAATGGAACAGATAAGGACTTAGGTGTCGCTCCTGTTGCGGCTGTCAATTCAGATTATGTTTTTCTTGGCCTGCCCCGTTTCCTGGCTTGGGCGGCAGGTGGTGGATCAGCATCCTTGCTAACAGCCTGAATCCTCCTGGTCCCCACCATGCTGTCACGGAGGAAAGAGCAAGCTGCAGGAGAGAACGAGGGTGAGTGATGGATGTGGCCAGCACAGGAGAGAGCGACTGACATGGCCAGCGCTAATAGCAACCAGGTACTAAATCCCCGACTCTGATTGAGTGTAGCGAGTAGGGAGGGTTCTAGGGGGTTGAAATGGTCGAAAATCGATGTTCTGAGATATTGCGTGAAGGCAACATGACACATCAAGTGAGTTATCGTGACCCTTTGACAACAAACGCAAAATTAATTGCAAAGAGCTTTGTAAAATAGTGGGGTGTCCTACTTTTAGTCGCGCCCCAAGAATTTTTTTTTTTAAATCTCCTCCTCGATTCAGGTGGCTTGCCATCACCATCTTCGTTACGTTCATATTATCTGTCCTCTCGGTCTCCCCTGGGCATTCCTTCGATCCTGTTGTAGCAAGGACATTCTTATCCCTTTTCGAAACAGTGCCTTCTTAGGCAGCACGGCATATTAATAATATCCTTCAGAAGGTGTGTTTTTTATTTATTCCCGTTGTAATTGAAAACTTCCTTTGGTGATGCCGATTTGACACTTTTGCAGATAGGTAGTTATTCATAAAACACCCAATCAATTAATCCCTGTATAAAACGCAATGGTTTTCCAAAAGTGTGATCAATGGGTTTTGAAAACAAGTGATCAGTAGTGTTCATAACCATAGGATTGGTTGATACCTTGTTTTATGAAGAATCGTTAACTTGCTTTTGCAAAGAATTATTAACTTGTTTTTGCCAAAGACTATCAACCGGTTTCTACAACGAATCATTAACTTATTTTTACGAAGAATTATTAACTTGTTTTTATAAAATAAAAATAAAAACAAAAATAAAAACAACCTGTTTTATGAACAATCATTAGCCTGCTTTTTCTCGAAGGATTATTAACCTTTTTAAGACCAATTATTAAATTATTTCTACAACGAATTATTAACCCTATTGTATGAAGAGCTATTAGCCTTCCTTTTCGAAGGATCATTAACTTGTTTTTATGAAGAATTATTGATCTGTTTTGACGAATAACTATTGACCTCTATTTACGAAGAATTACTTATTGACCTGTTTTTACAAAAATTATTTTATTGACTTCTATAAGAAATTTTAGTAGTAACATATTTCTCCAAAGAATTCTAATGTGTTTTTATGGGTTATTAACTTAATTTTACGAAGAATTAATTTTATGAAAGATTCACTATCACTCAATCAATGGAAATCAATTTCGCAGTTTTCCATTGATCCTACAAAATAATTGAGCTGCTTCGAACGCTTACTGTCCCATCTGTAGCGCCTCATACTTACTCATATTGCTTCTATCAAGCTTAGCAGCTCAGAGTAGTATATAGCGAGTCGAGATGCTAGAGATGCATTTAGGCGCCCCGTGCCAACTTTCCTAATGTAAGGAAAGGGGACAAACGTAGAATCCAAAGCATAGAAAGAGGATGCTTCAAGTCCATCATAAATATTGTATTTCTTTAGTTGATGGGTTGAGATGTATCAGACAACAAATTTTGACTTTCGATACACGTACCTGCTGGCAGTTCGAAGAGGCTAGAAGAGGCTAGAAGAGAGAGAGTCTATATATAAGAGCGAAGCATGTACAAGAGAGGTTCCGAAGGGCGAAAGGAGAGGGCAGTATGTGCATAAGACCTCATTCCATAGTAAGCGTAGGCCAGAGCCCAGGTGAACAACAGAAAAATAAAAAAACATTTTAAGCAGACGTATAATGCCTGTATATTTACCATATTAAATTCCCATATCTCACAACACCTAGAAACCCGAGGAGAAATCAAAATAATTTCCCCCTTCTCTGCCTGTCATGAGTCGATCCAGACTTCCGTAGAAGGCCTCAGTGCCGTATTAAGCCTAAGCCCAGGTAAACAGCTTTAAAAATAAATGTTCAACCAGATATACCTGTATACCACGTTAGTTCCCCAAACTGACATATCTCACAATATCCAGAAACCTGAGGGAAAATTAAAACATTTCCCTCTTTACCCCCTTCTCTACCCGTCGGGACTCGATCCAGATTTCTGTTCAAGTCCATGCTAAATATTTTATATCTAGTTGAAGCCGGTGGATCGAAATGGATCGGACGACGAATTTAACTTTAAGCATACATATGTGCCAGCAGATTGAAAGGATTAGGAGAGCGAAGCATGTCAATAGAAGAGCGGATAGCAAAGCACATAGGAGAGAAGTTCAGGCAAAATGAGAGGGAAGAACATAAGACCTCAATTCCATAGTAATCACTAGTAAACTAAATATTTAAACAGACTTACCTTTATATAACATTAATTCTTCACCCCAACATATCTCATCACCCAGAACCCCAAGGAAAAATTAAAACCTCTCCCCTGTCTCCCTCTCTATCGCCTCCGTGCTTGTCATGAGCCCAGACATCCCCAGGGCCACATTAAAAAGGCAATAATGCGGCCCTCAAGAGCAGGCTCGGCCTAAACTCTTACGCTGCCCCAGGCACCCGCAGTGATTCTGGTAGCGGCACTACGGTATACCCCGACCGGTATCGATTTGATACCCTCGGCGATACTGGGCAAACAGTCACCGGCGACTACGAGCAAACCTCAGGCACATCCGCTTGGTGGTATATACTATATAGGACTCTTTTCTCTCT